GGTAAGGTAATGGTTTTTTCAACATACAGTATCTCTTCTTTTTTTCTACAGGATGTTGGGGCGAAGAAGAAACAAAGAATGTTAGTTGTGCAAGCCTCCAAACTGGAAATACTTACAAATACTGTGTAGATGAGAAGGAGAAACCTAAATGCGTGGAGTGGGAATCAGTGGATTCCAATAATGTAAGATATCTGTTTATTGTATCTCACAAGACTCTCGTGACTACAACTACAGATGATGTACGACTTGCAAACTTGGGATTCAATATTGATTCACAGGCTTCACTATCAGATTACTGTAGAATCAAAAATATGACTGTCTTTTACACTTCAATATAGACAGTAGAAACAGTTTAATGACAAATGTATTCAAACATGTAGAAGATTGTTTTTGAGTGGTAGATTTTTTACTTAACTTTTGTATTTTTTCTTCCACAGACTTCTATGTGGCTTGCGGAACTTTGCCAACACAAAAAGACTACACCAGCACCCAATGTGATTGATGTCAACTACTCCTGTATCACCCTCCCAGAGTGTGTGAACGTAAACCATATTGCCATAAGTGGTTTGACTGTGAGTATGGCTATTTATCACTGCCGTTTAGGCTATGTACAGTTACCTTGTAAAGTACAATACCAGATCAAACATTCCAGTTGCATGTTAACAATTTGATTATAAAATGTAAATATATTGATGTTATCATATTTCAGAATCAGGAGCATTGGACCTATTTCATTGTGTCTGGTGCATCAGGTGAGATGTGTATATTGCTTTTCAAGTTTGTTGTTTTGTTTCACACATTCATATATATACAATATATATATATATATATATATATATATATATATATATATATATATATATTGTCTTGTTCTAGATGAGCCAAAGAAGCCTTTGGAGAAATCGCCTGAGTGGCAGAATAAAACTACAGGTGAGTGTTCCTTTGTAACTACAGAGCATAGCATATTGAAGGAGGGCTGTTGTTTCCAGTGGCTCTCTGTTGGGTAGTCATCAAAATGCTTCTCTGTTATGAATTTCATTAACTATGTCTTTCATTTTATTTTGAAGATAATGTGAAGCAGGATGCCGACCAGAAAAACCAAGACCATAACAACACTCACCCATGGCTCATCCCAGGTGAGTGAGTCCAGTTGATCATTGTGTGGTAAAGTAACACTCTCTTATTAAGCTTAAAAACATGAAATAGTTGAAACAATATCATAGCTATTATCAATGGGCAAAACTGTGTTCAACCATTTAAACAATTAGGATTGTTGCTTTGATTGTAAACCCTGTCTCTTGTTTTTCAGTTGTAATTGCTGTTGCCATTATAATTTTGCTCGGTGTTGGTTGGTTAGTGGACAAAAAGCTGAAGAAGGGGTAAGGGCAGTTTCATTATGACACAACAGTACATTCCACATACAACCACTGGCACACAATTCTCACCCCTTCGTATTAAAACAACTTGACTGAAAAGGTTCTGACCCCAATCACAAGTTTACTTTACAGACCACCAAACTGTTGTGTTCTCAGAAAATTACGTCAGAAAACTTCTGTTTATTTTATTACCATCTACAAGTTTATTTCCTTGCCCTTTATAGTGTTGTGTGTGCACTAGAAATGTATCCTGATTTAATGCATACTGTGTCTTACTACATAGGTTTCCAAGCCAGACCAATAATGATATTGAGATGAACAATATGGGAACAGACAGGTAAACTTTTCCACATCAGAATCCCTTGATATATATTGATCCCAGGGCCAGGGGTCATGTTAGTTTCTGTCTCCATAGAGGACATTGTGGTGGTGGAGGAAGGGGTCATAATAAATGTGAACTCTGATTACTGTATGTCTTATTACTCCTACAGCACTAAGGACCATACTGATGACCTGCCTCCTGATGCTGAGACTCTGGTTCAACCTCAGACGAATGGACAGGTGCTCTCTGACCGGTGAGATCCTGGCTTTTACACTGTTCTGTGTGTATGTCACAGGCAGGATCGAACACGGGTCTCCCATGGGAGAAACCAACGTTTTGACTGTTAGCCCAAGCAGAAATGTCCTGTTGGGCCGTGGGTGACACTTATTGTGAAGTTGCAGGCAGGGCTACCTCATCATGAGACCATGAGCCCTACTCATATCCGCTACATGTAGCAGCAGCCATCTTTTGCCTTTAAAGTTGCATGTGATGCTACACAAAATGTAATATTTGTGAATCAGTCCTCTGTAATGTAGGCTTTGGACATGGACAAAATATTACCCCTCCCAAACAATATCATTAAATGCAATGTAATAATCTCTCCTTTAGCGACCAAGGAGAGGAAGGCGTACTAGGAGTGGAGGACGGAAAGCCGTCAGACAATGACCAAGCAGACACTGAATCCTGTCAGAAGACACATGCTGATTCCCCTCTACTGAATGTACCCAAGGTTGTCAGGTAAATTCTCCACACGAGAACTCCTTTAATAGATCCTCATTATCCATTGAATGACAATCTAATTTCTCCCTTTAGAATTGATCCCATGGATCATGTTAGTCTCTGCCTCTATGGAGTAAAGTGTTATTTGTGGTGGATCAAAAGTGTTGCAAGGGATGGTAGAGGAGGTTCAATAACTGTTTGAGTTCCTGTTTCCTGATCCAGTCTGTATCTTACTCCACAGGGAATCACACCTGACCGATGGGGCTCCAGGTCAGGGTGCTGGTGAGACTTCACCCCTCCTCTGCAGGTGAGTCACTCCTCTGTAATTTAGGCCATGAACATGTAGACCATGTGTACCCCTTTAAAACAGATCCTTAAATTCTTATCCATGTAATAATCACCCTTAGAAGCCCAGGAGAGGAAGGTGTGCTAGAAGGGGAGGACAGGAAGCCAGCAGACAGTGGGGGAACAGACCCTGAATCCTGTCAGAAGACACATGCTGAACCCCCTGACATCAGGTAAACTTCACTACATCCAGTACTCATTGGATGATAACCTCACCAACCCCATCATCCCTTGGTTCATGTTAGCCTCTGTCTCTATAGGGGACAGTGTTTTGGTGGATAATGAATGTGAATGTTGTCTTATTTCTCCAACAGGGTTAATGACAAGACTAAGGAACCGACTCCTAATGCACAGAGTCCAGGACCTCCTCAGATGAATGGACGACATCCCATGTCTAACAGAGTAGCAGAGGAGACCACTGCTCTATTGGACAAACAGGCCTTGGACAAGGACCAAGTCAGAAAACCTGAGTTAATAGTAAGTACTGTTTATGTCCTCTGCCAACTGATAAATTGTTTGGCTTGGTATCTAAAATAATGGGTCTGGTTGTATTTTTGCTCCAGTATATTTGTAACTCTTGTGTTTTTCCCAAGGACAAAGGACCTAATGACATGGAGTCAAGAAGAGGAGAACTGTAACAAGCGGTGGACGTTTGTATAACAAAAGAGAACCTAATAAGATATGATAAAATACAGTAATATATGATATACAGTACATATTATAAGATACACATATGTGACTAGCTTCATCATAATCAGTCATATCAACCCCAAGACACATTCTGAACAGTGTGCTTTACTGAACAGTGATTTTCAGAAACCTCAACAGTTTGTTAAGTTAATTCTCTATGCGACAGCTGTAATCTGGATAGGTTAGGAAACATATTCTAGTGAAATCAGTTGAAATTCAAAAACAGCCCAATACTTTTAGATAACTTATCTAAATTATTATGATCTAAATTATTATGATCTAAATGTTTAATTACTATTATCTGAAAATGAGTGAGTGCGACTTATAACTGATTATGATACAACACGTCACATATTAGCTATACAACATTATATATAAAATGATATGAAAGTATGGTAAGATCATACAGTACTTACTAGTACTTACTAGTATGATATACTATACATACAAGCAATTATATGTAACATACACATGAAAAGATTATTAAAACATGAACCTCTCTGGTATAGACATTTCCAAGGTCATGAGGTCTCAATGTCTTATGGACATGTCAAAGAGCTAAACATTGACTAGTTGTTATTTAGAGTAGGCCTCATTCTCACAGGGCCCAGTCTCAGATGCTCTATTTTACTGAAGCAATTATTCATTATTTCTGAATTGAGAGTTAGCATGTCAGTGTTAAAAAAGCTTGCAAAATTTGTCCCAATTCAGCAACATTTTCACAGACATTTAACACACACCTGTAATCCTACTTTCAGTAAAGAAAGTTAATGCTCCATTTTAGACTCTAGATGATATTACATCAGACTTTATTTAAACCACTATTTTCATAGGAAATCAGTTCAAACAGGGAACACTTCATATGGATGTTCTCTTTATAATGCATTAAAGGTGCATTAATAACACCTTCTATGCATAATGCATCATGATGCACAACATAGGTGCTAATAGCTGCTCATGAACATCTATAACTGCATAAAGCATTATCACCAGGATGTGTAATGCCTTATGAAGCAAAGTATTACTATGCCAGATGCCATATTTGAAAAGCACATTAGGAACATTATATTATACATTCTGTGCTCATTAAATGGTAGGCTATATTCTAATTTTACTGCACACCCTTTTTCACCTATGTACTCTGTCTTGCAGGCATAAAGGGATAATTCACCCAAATTGCAAAATTACATATTGTTGTTCTTACCCTGTAAGCAGTCTATGGACAAGGTAAGAAAGCAACCCATGCTTTGGTTTTGTTTACTCTACTTGGTCACAGAAATGCAAACGTTGTAGCATTTGTGGCACAAATCCAAGTCAATAACCCTGATATAAGCATTTTTGCATTTAATGTCCATATCATCCTAAAGCAGGGATCATCAACTATATTCAGCCGCGGGCCGATTTCTTCTTGAGTGTATGGTAAGGGGGCCAGAACATAATTATAAATAATTAGTAGACTGCAAATTAACCGCAAGAAACCCAAACAGATATAATATTTGCCTAAAACATTATAATTTCAAACCTTGCTTACATTTGTATATGATCACACATATCTCTATATTATGCGTGGGAATACTTTGGAACAGATTTCCTAAATTAAAATCACTTGGAGCATTTGCTGGTGTTTTTACAGTATTTTATGCCCCCCCTTAGCTAACATGCTAAGTAGTTGCAAAGTTGCTAATTAGCGAAAATGCTAAAGTATCCCGTGATGAGATTCGAACACGCAACCTTTGGGTTGTTAGACGTTCGCTTTATACGCCCACCTATCCAAAACCAAACCATGGATTGCTGTCTGAGCTTGTCCATATGTAACCGGTGTGAAATGGCTAGCTAGTTAGCGGTGCGCGCTAGTAGCATTTCAATCGGTGACGTCACTCGCTCTGAGACCTTGAAGTAGTTGTTTCCCTTGCACTGCAAGGGCCGCGGCTTTTGTGGAGCGACGGGTAACGGTGCTTCGAGGGTGACTGTTGTCGATGTGTGCAGAGGGTCCCTGGTTCAAGCCCAGGTATGGGTGAGGAGAGGGACGGAAGCAACACTGTTACACATAGACTGCTTACACGGTAAAGAAAGCAAATGACATTTTGTAATTTGGGTGAACTATCCCTTTAACTGGAGTGTGGAACTCTTACGTTACAGTATACACCTCTGACACAATATCCTAAAGAGTATTTCATGTAGGGCATACCACTTTGCTTCATAATCATAACCCACTGAGAAACACACAGGTTGAATCAACATTGTTTCCACATCATTTCAATGAAATTACGTTAAACCAACGTGGAATAGACATTGATTTGACATCTGTGCCCAGTCGGAAGGCATTATGCTACCCGCTTATAATGACATTTATTAGCAGCCATTAGAGCCTATGTCATGCATTATAATGCATAGATTATAAGGTGTTATAAATACACTTATAATGCATTATGAAAAGGGTATTAATAGGATGTGTTATCCGCAGTTCTTGTGGAAGGAACTGTACCCCACGTCCCCACCTACTAGTGAAATTGTGCAAAATACCAGACCTTTAGACAGTAATTGTGTAGCTATGTTGATATTTGTGTTCACCGTTTCATTAGAATGTTTATCACATGTTTATCACATTGAGAGTATCTGTCAGGTCAAATGACTTAGGCAAATTACATACCCACATACTTTGAGACCTTATAACCTTAGTGTCAGAAAAGGTTCATTTTCTTCATATTTTGATGATGGTTATTTTATTTACTTGTAATGTATTTGATATGTCATGTCTGTGGGTTGGTCCCATACTTTTATGAATGGCTTTTGCCTGATGCATTTTATGGTTAGTTAACTTACACATGTATTTAGTTTTATTTCCTTATTACATTTTCATTACCAATTTATGGTACTATGCATTTTGACTATTGGATTGACAGTCTGCTCATACATTGCTTATAATCAACCAATACAAGTGAGCGAGTTACTTAAGACTATTGTTTAATGAACGACTCAGGTCTGATGTATACAATTGTCCCTCATACTCTCTTGTATTATTTGTAACACACTTTCTGCATGTATTTGTATGAAGGAACCTCCAAATTATTGTCATTGTAATATATACTTTTGAAATTGCAAATTTTGGAAGGCTATTCTGCAGAGGTCACACCTTGTTTTATTTAATATATTAACATTTTAGTCATTTAGCAGTTGCTCTTATCCAGAGCGACTTACAGAAGCAATTCAAGTGTAGTGCCTTGCTCAAGGGTACTTCAACAGATTTTTCACCTAGTCGGCTCGGGGATTCGAACCAGCGACTTTTGGGTTGATAGATCGGTAGATGATGCCTCTCCCTCAGTAGTTTGCCTGAATGTCCAAATGTTCTATTGTCATTAACATTGATGACATTTGACAAAGAAGATAACTATGTTTGATCTATACAGATGGATTCCACTCACATTGAAAGGTTATACTCTAGTGTTCACCCACAGTATGTACTGAACAAAAAAATTAATGCAACTTGTAAAGTGTTGGTCCAGTGTTTCATGAGCTGAAATAAAAGAACCCAGAAAAGCATATTTCTGAAAAATGTTGTGCACAAATTTGTTTACATCCCTGTTAGTGAGAATTTCTCCTTTGCCAAGATAATCTATCCACCTGACAGTTGTGGCATATCAAGAAGCTGATTAAACAGCATGATCATTGCACAGGTGTACCTTGTGCTGGGGACAATAAAAGGCCACTCTACAATGTGCAGTTTTGTCACTCAACACAATGCTACAGATGTCTCAAGTTTTGAGGGAGCGTGCAATTGGCATGCTGACTGCAGGAATGTCCACTAGAGCTGTTTCCAGATAATTGAATGTTCATTTCTCTACCCATAAGCCACCTCCAATGTCGTTTTTAGAGAATTTGGCAGTACATCCATCCGGCCTCACAACCGCAGACCACGTGTATGGCGTCATGTGGGCGAGCGGTTTGCTGATGTCAATGTTGTGAACAGAGTGCCCCATGGTTGCGGTGGAGTTATGGTATGGGCAGGCATAAGCTACGGACAATGAACACAATTGTATTATATCGATGGCAATTTGAATGCACAGAGATACTGTGACGAGATCCTGAGGCCCATTGTCGTGCCATTCATCCGCCGCCATCACCTCATGTTTCAGCATAATAATGCACGGCCCCATGTCACAAGAATCGGTACACAAATCCTGGAAGCTGAAAATGTGCATACTCACCAGACATGTCACCCATTGAGCATGTTTGGAATGCCCTGGATCGACGTGTACGACAGCGTGTTCCAGTTCCCGCCAATATCCAGCAACTTCACACAGCCATTGAAGAGGAGTGGGACAACATTCCACAGGCCACAATCAACAGCCTGATCAACTCTATGTGAAGGAGATGTGTTGCGATGCATGAGGCAAATGGTGGTCACTCCAGATACTGACTGGTTTTCTGATCCACGCCCCTACCTTTTTTTAAAGGTATCTGTGAGCATCAGATGCATATCTGTATTTCCAGTCATGTGAAATCCATAGATTAGGGCCTAATGAATGTATTTCAATTGACTGATTCCCTTATATGAACTGTAACTCAATTAAATCTTTGAAATTGTTGCGTTTATATTTTTGTTCAGTATAAGAGACAGGGCTTTGGGGTGTGGGGTTATCCCACCCTGGACCTTCAGAATTCCATTGGGGCCACAGTGGCTTGTGGGTGTAGATGTGTAAATTGAACTAAGTTAGCAAATGGAGTGACATGATTATAACTACAACTTCCCACCAAGCATGTTTGATTACCTATTCAAATCAAAATGTCCTAGTGTTCATCTAACTCCACGTCTTTATAAATCACAACTTTGAACACTTTGAACAATGAGGCACAATAAAAGGTACAGCCCATATCAGTTGCCTATTGAGAAAGTTATACCAAAGACAGTACAGTATGAAGATATGCTTCAATTGCTTCTTCAATAGAAATCCCATATCACACTTGAAGGTGATGTCATGGCAATGTTGGCTAGCTAAGCTCATGCGCAGAAACATGTCATCGGTTCTAACGGTCGTCTCGTGCCAATCTGTGCATGTGCAGGCCACCAAATCAAAGGCACTAGTTGGAGTAATAACATGTTCAAATACTTAAGAAATTAGCTCAACTCTATGTTGTGCCTTTAGATTTCAAGAAAATTAACAACTAAGGAAGAATCTTTCACTTCTCTCATTGACTTCTCAAACCCGAATCCCCGGCCTGGTTTACTTAGTCTGCTTAGCAAGCGTTCCCGCGATGTTGCGTCTCTGGGTTTAGAAACTGTAGTTATACAGTAACTTATAACTCCTCCTGTTTTCTAACAGGAACATACTGAAGCAGGAACAAGAAAAGTGAAACCTTTTTTACTGAACCAGCAAGCAAGAAGGCAGCTCTAAACAGACTAAAATGTATCTATTCAGCCTGTTGTTTGGCTTTTTGGTGCTCCCGTATCAAGGTAAAGACTAAGTTGTAACACAGTATTTGCACTTTAACATTGCTACATTGCTATAAAACGACCTGAAGGCAGAAAGTTCTCTTACTGTATTGTGTCACCTGGGCGAGGTCGGCTAGCAACCTGTTAGCCTCATAC